GGCTGAGGGGCAGGGCTGGGCTGGGGGGGGCTGCGGGTCGGGAGTGAGGGGCACCGGCAGGGCTGGGGGGGGCAGGGCTGGGCTGGCAGGGGGCTGCGGGTCGGGAGTGAGGGGGCACCGGCAGGGCTCGGGGGCAGGGCTGGGCTGGCAGGGGGCTGCGGGTCGGGAGTGAGGGGCACCGGCAGGACAGGGGCGGGGCCCAGGGCTGGGCTGGCAGGGGGCTGCGGGTCGGGAGTGGGGGGCACCCACAGGGCTGGGGGGCAGGGCTGGGCTGGCAGGGGCTGTGGGTCGGGAGTGAGGGGCACCGGCAGGGCAGGGGGGGGCCCAGGGCTGGGCTGGCAGGGGCTGCGGGTCGGGAGTGGGGGGCACCGGCAGGGCTGGGGGGCAGGGCTGGGCTGGCAGGGGGCTGCGGGTCGGGAGTGAGGGGCACCGGCAGGGCAGGGGGGGGGCCCAGGGCTGGGCTGGCAGGGGGCTGCGGGTCGGGAGTGGGGGGCACCCGCAGGGCTGGGGGGCAGGGCTGGGCTGGCAGGGGCTGCGGGTCGGGAGTGGGGGGCACCGCGTCCGTCTGTCTCCCCAGGTCGGTCACGGACCCCCGGGACGGGAAGCGGGTCGCCCTGAAGAAGATGCCGAATGTTTTCCAGAATCTCGTCTCCTGCAAACGGGTGTTTCGGGAACTCAAGATGCTCTGTTCCTTCAAACATGAGAACGTGAGGGGGGGGCGGGGGGCAGGGGGGCACCAGGATGGGGGGCCTGAGGGTTTGGGAGGGATGGTGCAGGGGTAGCAGTTGTGGGGGGCTGTGGGTTGGATTGAGGGGGGGTGTTTATGAAGCCCTATAATTTACCAGTTTACTGTATGGAGGAGGCTGTGGGGCTGGGGGTTGCAGTGGGGCTGGGGGCTATGGGTCAGTGGGAGGGGCTGTGACAGAGGAGTGGGGGTTGCTGTATGGAGGATGCCGTGGGGCTGGGGGTTGCAGTGGGGGGCAGAGGGGTGGGGCTGGGGGCTCTGGCTGGCCAGTCCCGGGGACGCCATGGGGCTGGCTCTGGGACCCTGTGGGGGTATCTGGGGGCTCCCCTCTTTTGTCTCACCCCCCCCCCGTCGGTGCCCCTCAGGTGCTGTCAGCGCTGGATATCCTGCAGCCCCCCCAGATCGACTGCTTTGAGGAGATGTATCCGCCCCCGTGGGGGAGGGGCTGGGGGAACCGTGGGGGGCTGCCCTGGGGGGTAACTGGCAGCAGGGGGAGGTGCCGGGGGCAGTTAGGGGTCCGGGGGGGTTATCGGGGGCAGCACTTGTAGCTACCCGCTGACAGAGGCGAGGCTGGGGGCAGGGAGCTGGGGGCCCGGGGGGATGGGAGCGGGGGGGGCCATGGGGCTCTGCCCCCCGAGCTGCGCCCTTGACCCCGCGCCGGGCGGTAGCTACGTGCTCACGGAGCTGATGCAGAGCGACCTGCACAAGGTGATCGTGTCCCCCCAGCCGCTGAGCGCCGAGCACATCAAGGTCTTCCTCTACCAGATCCTGCGCGGTGAGACCCCGGGCCCCCCCAACCTCCCCGGGCCCCCGAACCTCCCCGGGCCCCCCAAACCTCCCCGGGTCCCCCCAAACCTCCCAGGCCCCCCCGAACCTCCCCGGGCCCCCCCAAACCTCCCCAGGCCCCCCCAACCTCCCAGGCCCCCCCAAACCTCCCGGGCCCCCCAAACCTCCCCGGGCCCCCCGAACCTCCCAGGACCCCCCCAAACCTCCCTGGGCCCCCCGAACCTCCCCGGGCCCCCCAAACCTCCCCGGGTCCCCCCAAACCTCCCAGGCCCCCCCGAACCTCCCCCGGGCCCCCCAAACCTCCCCGGGCCCCCCCCAACCTCCCAGGCCCCCCGAACCTCCCCCCGGGCCCCCTGAACCTCCCCGGCCCCCCCCCAAACCTCCCCGGGTCCCCCCAAACCTCCCAGGCCCCCCCCGAACCTCCCGGGCCCCCAAACCTCCCCGGGCCCCCCCAACCTCCCAGGCCCCCCCCAAACCTCCCCCGGGCCCCCCCAAACCTCCCCCGGCCCCCGAACCTCCCAGGACCCCCTCAAACCTCCCTGGGCCCCCCCGAACCTCCCCCCGGCCCCCCAAACCTCCCAGGCCACCCCAAACCTCCCAGAGCCCCCCCCAACCTCCCCGGGCCCCCCAACCTCCCAGGCCCCCCCAAACCTCCCCGGGCCCCCCCCGAACCTCCCCCGGGCCCCCCCAAACCTCCCAGGACCCCCCAAACCTCCCCCGGGCCCCCCCAAACCTCCCCAGGCCCCCCAACCCCCCTGGGCCCCCAAACCTCCCAGGCCCCCCCCAACCTCCCCAGGCCCCCCAAACCTCCCCCGGGCCCCCCAAACCTCCCAGGCCCCACCAAACCTCCCTGGGCCCCCCAAACCTCCCAGGGCCCCCCTGGGCCCTCCCAACCTCCCAGGGTGCCCCAGGACCCTCCAAACCTCCCAGGGCCTCCCAAACCTCCCTGTGCCCCCCAAAACTCCCAGGGCCCCCCAGGATCCCCCAAACCTCCCCAGGCCCCCCAAACCTCCCAGGGACCCCAGAAACCCTCTAGACCCTCCACGGACCCCCAGAGCCCCCCAGTCTCCCCAGTCCCCTCGACCACCCCCCCCCAGGCTCACCCAATCCCCAGGGCCCCCCAGATATCCATCCTCAGCCACCCCAATACACCATCCCCAGTACACTCCAACCCCCCCCCCCCCACCGGGCCACCCTGCCTCCCCCCATATGTCACCGGCCCCTTCTCGGCTCCTGCCCTCCTCCCCCGTTTATCTCGGCACGGGAGGGGAACCTGGGCGGGGTCCCTGAGCAGGAAGAAGGGCAGATTTCAGGGGTCCCCAACCCCCCCCCCAACGCTGCCTCCCTCCCTGCAGGTCTGAAATATTTGCACTCGGCCGGCGTTCTCCATCGGGACATCAAGCCAGGGAACCTGCTGGTGAACAGCAACTGCGTCCTCAAGGTGAGAGACGCCCCCCCAGCCTCTGGGGTGGGACCCAGGCGTCCGGGACGGCTGCCAGAGACCGGGACAGGGGAAGGGACCCAGGCGTCCGGGACGGCTCCCAGACACCGGGACAGGGGAAGGGACCCAGGCGTCCGGGACGGCTCACAGACACCGGGACAGGGGAAGGAACCCAGGCGTCCGGGACGGCTGCCAGAGACCGGGACAGGGGAAGGGACCCAGGCGTCCGGGACGGCTCCCAGACACCGGGACAGGGGAAGGGACCCAGGCGTCCGGGACGGCTGCCAGAGACCGGGACAGGGGAAGGGACCCAGGCGTCCGGGACGGCTCCCAGACGCCGGGACAGGGGAAGGGACCCAGGCGTCCGGGACGGCTCCCAGACGCCGGGACAGGGGGAAGGGACCCAGGCGTCTGGGACGGCTCACAGACACCGGGACAGGGGAAGGAACCCAGGCGTCCGGGACGGCTGCCAGAGACTGGGACAGGGGAAGGGACCCAGGCGTACGGGACGGCTCACAGACACTGGGACAGGGGAAGGGACCCAGGCGTCCGGGACGGCTCACAGACACCGGGACAGGGGAAGGAACCCAGGCGTCCGGGACGGCTGCCAGAGACTGGGACAGGGGAAGGGACCCAGGCGTCCGGGACGGCTCACAGACACCGGGACAGGGGAAGGGACCCAGGCGTCCGGGACGGCTCACAGACACCGGGACAGGGGAAGGAACCCAGGCGTCCGGGACGGCTCCCAGACGCCGGGACAGGGGAAGGGACCCAGGCGTCCGGGACGGCTCCCAGACGCCGGGACAGGGGAAGGGACCCAGGCGTCCGGGACGGCTCCCAGACGCCGGGACAGGGGAAGGGACCCAGGCGTCCGGGACGGCTCCCAGACGCCGGGACAGGGGAAGGGACCCAGGCGTCCGGGACGGCTCCCAGACGCCGGGACAGGGGAAGGGACCCAGGCGTCCGGGACGGCTCCCAGACACTGGGACAGGGGAAGGGACCCAGGCGTCCGGGACGGCTCACAGACACCGGGACAGGGAAGGAACCCAGGCGTCCGGGACGGCTGCCAGAGACCGGGACAGGGGAAGGGACCCAGGCGTCCGGGACGGCTGCCAGAGACCGGGACAGGGGAAGGGACCCAGGCGTCCGGGACGGCTGCCAGAGACCGGGACAGGGGAAGGGACCCAGGCGTCCGGGGACGGCTCCCAGACGCTGGGACAGGGGAAGGGACCCAGGCGTCCGGGGACGGCTCCCAGACGCCGGGACAGGGGGAAGGGACCCAGGCGTCTGGGACGGCTCACAGACACCGGGACAGGGGAAGGAACCCAGGCGTCCGGGACGGCTGCCAGAGACCGGGACAGGGGAAGGGACCCAGGCGTCCGGGACGGCTCACAGACACCGGGACAGGGGAAGGGACCCAGGCGTCCGGGACGGCTGCCAGAGACTGGGACAGGGGAAGGGACCCAGGCATCCGGGACGGCTCACAGACACCGGGACAGGGGAAGGGACCCAGGCGTCCGGGACGGCTCACAGACACCGGGACAGGGGAAGGAACCCAGGCGTCCGGGACGGCTCCCAGACGCCGGGACAGGGGAAGGGACCCAGGCGTCCGGGACGGCTCCCAGACGCCGGGACAGGGGAAGGGACCCAGGCGTCCGGGACGGCTCCCAGACGCCGGGACAGGGGAAGGGACCCAGGCGTCCGGGACGGCTCCCAGACGCCGGGACAGGGGAAGGGACCCAGGCGTCTGGGCCTGTTCCACTAGGGGGCCCTGCAATGCTCCCCAGAAACTGGGATGGGCAGGGGACCCAGGCGTCCGGGCTGGGCTCCCCGCAGCCTTCCCAGGGGGGACCCAGGCGTCCGGGCTCACCCCCCTCCCCGCGGCAGATCTGCGACTTCGGGCTGGCGCGGCTGGAGGAGCCGGACGAGGGGCAGCCCATGACGCAGGAGGTGGTGACCCAGTACTACCGGGCCCCCGAGATCCTCATGGGCACCCCCCACTACGGAGCCCCCGTCGACCTCTGGGCCGTCGGCTGCATCTTCGCCGAGCTGCTGAGCCGGCGGGTTCTCTTCCAGGCCCCCAGCCCCATCCAGCAGGTGGGGGGGATCTGGGGGGAGGGGAGGGAGTGGGGAGGGGATCTGGGGGGAGGGGAAGGAGTGGGGAGGGGATTGGGGGAGGGAAGAGGTGGGGGGAGGGGATCTGGGGGAGGGGAGGGAGTGGGGAGGGGATTGGGGGAGGGGAGAGGTGGGGGAGGGGATCTGGGGGGAGGGGAGGGAGTGGGGAGGGGAGAGGTGGGGGGAGGGGATCTGGGGGGAGGGGAGGAAGTGGGGAGGGGATTGGGGGAGGGGAGAGGTGGGGGAGGGGAGGGAGTGGGAAGGGGATTGGGGGGGGGGGAGGGAGTGGGGAAGGGAATCAGGGGGAGAGGCTAGTGGGGGGTGGGTTGCATGGGGGGAGGCTCTCGCACCCCCCAATAACTCCCCTCCCCCCCACAGCTGGACCTGATCACCGACCTACTCGGCACCCCCCCTCCCCACGCCCTGCGCTCGGCCTGCGAGGGGGCCCGGGCCCACGTGCTGCGGGGCGCCCACAAACCGGTGAGACCCCGGGGGGCCGTGGGGGCTGGAGGGAAGGTATGAGGGGGGGCTGTGGGAAGTGGGGGGCTGGGATCAGGGTGGTGGGCTGAGGGGGACATGGGGGGCTGGGATCAAGGGGTGGGGCAGGGATGGGGGGGCTGGGATGAGGGGCTGGGCGGGGGAAGCGGGGGGCTGGGACGAGGTGCTGTGGGAAGTGGGGGCTGGGCAGGGGAAGCGGGGGGCTGGGACGGGGGCTGTGGGAAGCGGGGGGCTGGGCGGGAGAAGCGGGGGGCTGGGACGGGGGGCTGTGGGAAGCGGGGGGCTGGGTGGGGGAAGCGGGGGGCTGGGACGGGGGCTGTGGGAAGCAGGGGGCTGGGCGGGGGAAGCGGGGGGCTGGGACGGGGGCTGTGGGAAGCAGGGGGCTGGGCGGGGGAAGCGGGGGGCTGGGACGGGGGGCTGTGGGAAGCGGGGGGCTAGGTGGGGGAAGCAGGGGGCTGGGACGTGGGGGCTGGGGGAAGCGGGGGCTGGGACGGGGGGCTGTGGAAAGCGGGGGGCTGGGCGGGGGAAGCGGGGGCTGGGATGGGGGGCTGTGGAAAGCAGGGGGCTGGGTGGGGGAAGCGGGGGGGCTGGGACGGGGGGCTGTGGAAAGCGGGGGCTGGGCGGGGGGGAAGCGGGGGGGCTGGGACGGGGGCTGTGGGAAGCGGGGGGCTGGGCGGGGGAAGCGGGGGGCTGGGACGGGGGGCTGTGGAAAGCGGGGGGCTGGGCGGGGGAAGCGGGGGGCTGGGACGGGGGCTGTGGGAAGCGGGGGCTGGGCGGGGGAAGCGGGGGGCTGGGACGGGGCTGTGGGAAGCGGGGGGCTGGGCGGGGGAAGCGGGGGGCTGGGATGGGGGGGGCTGTGGGAAGCGGAGGGCTGGGCGGGGGAAGCGGGGGGCTGGGACGGGGCTGTGGGAAGCGGGGGGCTGGGCGCGGGGGAAGCGGGGGGCTGGGACGGGGGACTGTGGGAAGCGGGGGGCTGGGTGGGGGAAGTGGGGGGGCTGGGACGGGGGCTGTGGGAAGCGGGGTGCTGGGCGGGAGAAGCGGGGGGCTGGGACGGGGGCTGTGGGAAGCGGGGGCTGGGTGGGAGAAGCGGGGGGCTGGGACTGGGGGCTATGGGAAGCGGGGGGCTGGGCGGGGGGAAGCGGGGGGCTGGGATGGGGGGCTGTGGGAAGCGGGGGGCTGGGCAGGGGAAGCAGGGGGCTGGGACGGGAGCTGTGGAAAGCGGGGGGCTGGGACGGGGGCTGTGGGAAGCAGGGGGGCTGGGCGGGGGAAGCGGGGGGCTGGGACGGGGGGCTGTGGGAAGCGGGGGGCTGGGCGGGGGAAGCGGGGGGCTGGGACGGGGCTGTGGGAAGCGGGGGGGCTGGGCGGGGGAAGCGGGGGGCTGGGACGGGGGCTGTGGGAAGCGGGGGGCTGGGCGGGGGAAGCGGGGGGCTGGGACGGGGGCTGTGGGAAGCGGGGGCTGGGCGGGAGAAGCGGGGGGCTGGGACGGGGGCTGTGGGAAGCGGGGGGCTGGGCGGGGGAAGCGGGGGGCTGGGACGGGGGCTGTGGGAAGCGGGGGCTGGGCGGGAGAAGCGGGGGGCTGGGACGGGGGCTGTGGGAAGCGGGGGGGCTGGGCGGGAGAAGCGGGGGCTGGGACGGGGCTGTGGGAAGCGGGGGCTGGGACGGGGGCTGTGGGAAGCGGGGGGCTGGGCGGGGGAAGCGGGGGCTGGGACGGGGGCTGTGGGAAGCGGGGGGCTGGGACGGGGGCTGGGCGGGGGAAGCGGGGGGGCTGGGACGGGGGCTGTGGGAAGCGGGGGCTGGGCGGGGGAAGCGGGGGGCTGGGACGGGGCTGTGGGAAGCGGGGGCTGGGACGGGGGCTGGGCGGGGGAAGCGGGGGGCTGGGACGGGGGGCTGTGGGAAGCGGGGGCTGGGCGGGGGAAGCGGGGGGCTGGGACGGGGGGGCTGTGGGAAGCGGGGGGCTGGGGGAGGAGCCCCACTCAGGCTCCGTGTCCGTCCGTCCGTCCAGCCCGCGCTGTCCGTGCTGCACCTGCTGTCGGGGGAGGCGACCCACGAGGCCGTTCACCTGCTCTGCCGTCTGCTGGTCTTCGACCCCGTGAGTCGCCCGGACGCCAGGGTCCCGGGGAGCGCTGGGATTACCCCCCCCCCCCGGATGCCGGGGTCTCTGGGAGCGCTGGGGGTTCCCTGACCGGACACCGGGGTCCCTGGGAGCACTGGGGGTTCCCTGCCCGGACGCCGGGGTCCCTGGGAGCACTGGGTTGCCCCCCCGGACGCCGGGGCCCCTGGGAATGCTGGGGGTTCCCTGTCTGGATGCCGGGGTCCCCGGGAGCGCTGGAGGTTCCCCGCCCAGACGCCGGGGTCCCCGGGAGCGCTGGGGTTCCCTGCCCGGACGCCGGGGCCCCGGGAGCGCTGGGGGTTCCCTGTCTGGGTGCCTCGGCCCCCGGGAGCGCTGGGGGGTTCCCTGTCTGGATGCCGGGGTCCCCGGAGGCGCTGGGGGTCCCCCCGGACGCCGGGGTCCCCGGGAGCACTGGGGGTTCCCCGCCCGGATGCCGGGGCCCCCGGGAGCGCTGGGGGTTCCCTGCCCGGACGCTGGGGTCCCCCGGGAGCCCTGGGGGTTCCCTGTCTGGATGCCTCGGTCCCCGGGAGCGCTGGGGGTTCCCCGCCCGGACGCCGGGGTCCCCGGGAGCACTGGGGGTCCCTCCGGACGCCGGGGTCCCCGGGAGCGCTGGGGGTCCCCCCGGACGCCGGGGTCCCACGCTGGCTCTCGGCAGGCCCGGCGGATCTCGGCGCGGGAGGCTCTGGCCCACCCGTACCTGCAGGAGGGGCGACTCCGCTTCCACACGACCATCTGCCGCTGCTGCCCCCGCCTGGCCTCGGGGCGCGTCTACGCCCCCGACTTGGAGCCCCCCGCGGCCCCCCGCTTCGACGACGCCGACGAGCGGGCCCTGCACTCCGTCTGGCAGGCCAAAGGTGACCCCCGCCGCCCCCGTCGCCCCCCGCGGCCCCCTGTCGCCCCCTGTCACCCCCCGCCGGGCCCCACACGCTGCCCCCCCGCTGTCCCCACACTCTGACCCCCCCCACAGGGCCCCCCATTGCCCCCCCACACTGACCCTCCCCCGCCAGGCCCCCATCGCCCCCACATGCTGCCTCTCCCCCACTGGGGACCCCCTTCACCCCCACACACTGACCCTTCCTGCCGTGGTCCCCTGCTGTCCCCCATCACCCCACACACTGACCTACCCCTGGGCCCCCACAGCCCCCCTAAAACTGACCCTCATCCCCTGGGACCTCCTGCTGTGACCCCAAACCCCTGATACCCCTCACAGCCCCCCCAAACACCAGCCCCCCTTGCATGAACCCCCATAGACTCCCTCTAGCTGCCACAGCCACCCTCCACCCCCACAAGGGACCCTCCCGGTTTGGATCTGTTCCCCCCACCTCCTCTCCAGCCCCCCCAGTGAATTCCCCCCCCGTGGCCCCCCCGGATCTGAAGCTGCCCCCCTCTTTTGCAGAGCTGGTTCACAGCTTCATCCTGGATCAGCAGAAGGGGACACGGGTCCCACTGTGCATCAACCCCAACTCGGCCGCCTTCAAAACCTTCATCCGGTGAGTGCCCCCGCCCCACGGCGCCCCCCCCCCACCGGCCTCCGCCCCACGGCGCCCCCCCTCCGGCCTCCGCCCCACAGCGCCCCCCCGCCCACGGCGCCCCCCACCGGCCTCCGCCCCCACGGCGCCCCCCACCGGCCTCCGCCCCACAGCGCCCCCCGCCCACGGCGCCCCCCCACCGGCCTCCGCCCCACAGCGCCCCCCGCCCCACGGCGCCCCCCCACCGGCCTCCGCCCCACAGCGCCCCCGCCCCCATGGCGCCCCCCCGCCGGCCTCCGCACCACGGCGCCCCCGCCACCCTCCGCACCACAGCGCCCCCGCCCCACGGCGCCCCCCACCGGCCTGCGCCCCACAGCGCCCCCCGCCCCACGGCGCCCCCCCACCGGCCTGCGCCCCACAGCACCTTCACCCCATCCCACAGGCAGCCCCCCACCCTGCTGCCCACAGCTCCCCCGCCAGCCCCCCGTGCTGCATTCGAACGCTCGTTCCCCCGCAGGTCGACGGCCTGGCATTCGTCGAAAGTTTCGAAGAAGGACGAGAGATGAAGGCGGCTGGCAGCAGATTTGGGGTTCGGGGGTGGCCAGACGGAAAGAGAAAGGGGGGGACGGAGCCAGCCGGCCGCGGCGGGACACACCCCGAATTGCCTGCTGAACTGGTGGGGAAAAGACCAAGGGTCCTGGAGCTGAAATCAAAGGGACCCCTCGAGTCCGTGCCGCAACACAGCCGCCCCAGCCCCCCCCGAACCTCCCTGCACCCCCAAACCCCCTGAGTCTGCACTGGGAATACGGCCACCCCCTGAGCCCCCCTAAACCCCCTGAGTTTGCACTGGAAAAATGAACCCCACTGCACCCCCAAATTCCTTTGAGCCTGCACTGGAAATGAGACTCCCCGTCTCTTGCCTCAGCAACCCCAAATTCCCCTGTCTCTGCACTGGAAAGCTGAGCCCCCCAAACCACCCCACAGCACCCCCAAAGTCCTCGTAGTTTGCACTGTCAATGCCCCCACCCCCGAACCTGCCCTGCGCTCCTCATTTCCCCTCGTCTGCTCAGGAAACGACACCCCCCCGACCCCCAAAACTTCCCCAAGCACCCCTGAATCTCTCTGAGTCTGCACTAGAAACAAACCTACCTTGAGCCCCAAATCCTTCCCACGCCCCACCCCCCAAGCTCCCCTGAGGCTGCACTGGAGCCAGGAACCCCCAAAACCAGCCCTTCCCCCCCCAAATTCCCAAGGCTGCACTGTGAATACAGCCCCCTCCTGTCCCCTTAATGCTGCCCCAACTTCTCAGCCCTGCGCCCCCTCTTTCCCCAGCCCCACCCCAGCAACCCCCGGGGCCCCATTTCAGCCCCCAACTACTGACCTCCCCCCAGTAGTTCTCCCCCCCAACCAGCCAGCGCCCCCCAGCGCCCCCCACTGGGAGAGGCTGGGAATTTGTATGAATTCACGGCTCCCAAAATCCCCCCCGTGCTGTGGCTGTTTCCGGCCCGGGTTTAATTTCGGGTTTCGGCGGCTCTGGGCTGCGGCTTCGCCCCGATTCTCCCCCGCTGGTTTTTCGTTGCAAAGGGGGCGACCGACAAGACCCTGGAAACTTGGGCCGCTCGGGCGCGGGGTTGGGGGTTTCGTAACTGAATCGGAACCTGCCGGCTCGGCATTAAATTCTGCTGGCACGTTCGCGGCCGGGCTTTTCCTTCCAGGGCGCGGGCGAGACGCGGCTGCTTCTGGGGCGGGGGGGCTGGGCACACGGGGACCCCTCGCCCGGCACCGGGTCGTGGCCCCTCTGGGGCGGGGGGGCTGGGCACGCGGGGGACCCTCGCCCGGCGCCGGGTTGTGGCCCCTCTGGGGGCGGGGGGGAGGGGCTGGGCACACGGGGGACCCCTCGCCCGGCGCCGGGTCGTGGCCCTTCCGGAGCGGTGGGGGGGGCTGGGCACACGGGGGACCCCTCGCCCAGCGCAGGGACCCCACTGTCCCGGAGTCCCAGGCCCGGTGCTGTGGAACTGCCTTGAATGAGGCTCAGCCAGGACTTGGGGGACTCCCCGCAGGACTCGCTGTCCAGGGCAAGGGGCCTCCTGGGTCCGACCTCGGAGCGTCCAGCTCCCTGTTCACCCCGTGAGCTCCCTGCAGCGAGTCCCCTGGACGGGCCCTGGGGCAGCCGGAGGGGCCCTGCCCCCCATTCGGCAGCCAGCATGCACCCAGCGGAGGCCAGAGCTTGTTAGCAGTGTGACGACGTGGGGGTTATATTCACCTCGTTCTGTTGCACGTGAGTCTTACAGTCCTGCCCCAATACTGGGTGTGCCTCAGTTTCCCTGTGTGCTGCACCAGCACTTCAGGGGTGGGACCTGGGGGGGGTGTGATTTCGCTGGGGCCCCAGGGGCCGGTGAGGGTGCCTGTGTGACCTGAGACCCAGGAGGGGGGGTGCGACCAGGTGACACCTTTGGCCCGAAGTGAGACAAAGAGAAGGGGGAGGAGCAAAGGGGGTGTTGGAGGTGGGGTGGGCTGGGGGCTGCGTGGGGGGACTGAGGGGGGAGTCCAGGGCATCTGGCCCAGGACTCCCCAAGATGGACGTGGCTGAAAGCCCCTGATTTCTGTGCTAACAAGCTCTGCCCTGCGCCGGGCTCCTGTCGACGAATAAATCCTCTGGGTCCCCAGCGAGCGGAGAGTCCCGGCTGCCTGCGGAGTCGGGGGGCAGGACCCTCTGGCCCCCCCAGGACCCCGCCTGGGCGGACTCGCGGTGGGCAGCGCCCAGAGGGGCAGAGGAGGCTGGAGGCTCCGGGGTCGGACCCAGGAAGGTGGAGCCGGGGGAGCTGTGTGTCCTGCAGACAGGCTGCTCCCCGAGAGGAGGCTCCCCCAGAGCCCTGCCCGGCTCCGGAGGGAGCAGGTCCCGAGCATCGCCCCGGTAGTCGCCCGCCACCCCAATGAAAGCCTGGGTGGCAGGCCCCATCTCTGATCACCCCCACCGTGGCCGGCTCTGGCTTTAGCCAGCCGCCCCCCACCTTGTGGCCCAGGTACGACACCTCGCCAGCCCCCACCTGGCACTTGCCAGCTTTTACATCCTGGAGGTGACCCGGCCCCCTCTCTCCTGGGACACGTGGTCCTCCCAGGCCTGGCTAAAGACACGGATGTCATGGAAATCCGCCACGGCCAAACTCTCCTGCCCCTCAGGAGCTGGTCCGCCAGGCGCTGGAAGGTGGCCGGTGCCCCCGTTAGGCCGAAAGGCAGGGCCAGGAACTCGCAGAGCCCCAGGGGGTGATAGAAGCAGATTGCAGTCGGGCATCCGGATCCCCAGGTTCTTGCCAGTAGCCCTTGGTGAGATCCATCGTGGGGAGATAACGACCCCACCCCCCAGCTCGTCTAGAAGCTCGTCAGGCCTAGGCGTGGGGTGGGCATTGAACTTGGTGATGGCCTTAGGCCTCCGGTAATCCACACAAAACCGGATCAACCCGTCTTCCTTGGGGATCAGCAGCACGGGAGAGGCCTGAGGGTTGGGGGACGGCTGGATCACCCCTAAAGCCAACATGTTCTTGACCTCTCTCTCCAGGTCCTGGGCTGTTTTCCCAGTGACCCAAAATGGGGAGCATCTTACCGGGGGTGGGCTCCTGTCTCCAGCTGGTGGGCGGCCGGGTTAGGGAGCCCAGGCCAGTTGGCGAACAGCTCCTGGTAGGAACCCAGCGCCCCTCGGGTCTCCGTCTGGGGGCGGTTAAGCTGGTCTGAGAGGGGAACTGATCCCGGCAAAGGGCTGGCCCCTGTCTCAGGGAATAGATCCACCTGGGGATCCTCTCCCTGCTCCCCCACTGGCCACACACGGCCAGGACCAGCCTCTCCCGGTCCCAGTGCGGCTTCGTCAGGCTGGCCTGGCCCACCCGGTGGCTGTGAGCCCGGTTGGGCCGCTCTGCTACACGGTCCACCCCCTTCAGCTGCTTGATGACCTCAAAGGGCCGTCGCAGGGGGCCTGGGGTTTGTTCTGTCTCTCGGGGATGAGGAGCATCCCCTGGTCCCCGGTGGCGTAGGTGCGGGCCCGTGCGGAGCGGTCGAACCAGGCTTTCTCCTTCCCTTGGGCCCTGGCCGGGTTCCCCGGCCAGGCCCACGAGCCCGCGAGCTTTGCCCGAGAGTCAGGCCATGCCCCACCACTGATTCTCCATCGGCGGAGGCCTTCCCCTCCCACTCGCCCCACATCAGCTCCAGGGGCCCCTCACTCCCGTCCCGAACAGCGACTCGAACGGAGAGGACCCGGTACTCCGGGGCAGCGCCCGGTACGCGAACAGCAGGTGAGGCGAGTAGAGTCACAGAATATCAGGGCTGGGGAGGTTGGGTCGGCTCAGTCTGTCCCTGAGCCCAGGGCACTGGGTCCGTACGTGGCCTCTCTGGCCCCAGTGACAGCAGCTCAGGTCACGTTGGTCCCCCGAGCGGGTCGGAGGGGCCCGACGCCAGGCGTTCCCCCCTTGGGAGGGGGTTCTCCCTTATTTCCCCGCTGGGAGGCCCCCTGGTGACTCTCTCTCTGCATCAGGGGGGCCTGTTCTTTTGGGACTCCTCCCGGCTACCCCTGACCGACTGTTCACAAACTCGTCGGCCAGCTGCCCTGCGTGCTGGGGGTTCTCCAGCTTTTTGTCCACCAGCCACAGCCTCAGGTCGGAAGGGCACTGTTCATACAGCTGCTCCAGGACGATTAGGTCAAGCAGGTCCTCTTTAGCTCGGGCCCCGCTGTCCACTTGCGGGCATATCCCTGCATCCGGTTGGCCAGTTGTAGGTAGGTGACCTCAGGCGTTTACGCTGACTCCGGAACCTTCTCCGGTACATTTGGGTCAGCCCAAACTCACGGAGCAGGGCCTGTTTGAACAGTTCATAGTCCCCTGCCTCCGGCCCTGTCCTCCGGCTGTACACCTCTGTGACGGTGTGACGCAGCAGGGAGGGGGCAGTGTTGACCTGGGAATGTGAACGGGGGGGGGGGGGGGGGGATGTGAACATGGGACTCAGCGGGGGGCAGGGGGGGGGCGTGACACCCTCTGCCTGGGAATGTGGACAGAGGCTGCAGGAGGGGGCCTGCTGGGGGGGGGGGGGTTAGTTTTCAGTTTGGGGCTGGGTGGAGGAACACAGGGAACCCCAGGGCTGGGGTCTAAGCTCCCTGCCCCCCAGAAGGACTCTACTGAGGGGTCCTGGGTGTACCCACAAGCTCTGTTGTGGACTGTGTTCCTGTTGTCCAATAAACCTTCTGTTTTACTGGCTGGCTGAGAGTCTCAGTGGATCCCAGGAAGAGGGGTGCAGGGCCTGGACTCCCCCACACTCCGTGACAACTGGTGGCAGAGGTGGGATCTACTGCACCCCGTGAATGGCGCTTCCTGCAGTAAGTGACTGGGGAGCAGTAAAACGAAGGGGGATTGACGGGGACCAGGCGTGCTGAAGATTCAGAGAGAGACGGTTTCGGGGCGGTTAACCCCTGGGAGTGTGTGACCAGAGAGAAGGACTTTTTGCAGTAACAGGGTCCCCCGGGGGATTGCAGCGAGCGGTCCCAGGGGTGGAGGAGTCTGCAGCTCGACCCTGGCAAAGAGGTGGTGACCTCAAGAAGGACTGGCACACGAGGGGCTTTTCCTGGAAACCGTGGGAAGCTGCCCGGCCTGCGAGTGGCCAGCAGGGAGATGTACGCTAAACGCCTTAAGAGTGACCTGGTGGAGCTGTGCAGGCAGAGGGGGCTGCGCATCGGGAGGTCCACCAAGGAACAACTGATTGCCCAGTTGGAGGAGAGGGATCGCTTGGATGACCCGATCCCTGTCCCTGAGGGGAGCCGCCCGGCAGACGCAGCGTGGGCCCCGGGGCCTGACCGGGC